GGCATGTAAGTGGCCTTCTGATCCATCTGTTGTGATGTCCATGGTAGCCCACTGGAATACTGATTGGAGTTCATTGCAGGTGAAGGAGGACGCAAAACTGGTGCTATGACGATTGCAAAAATTCTGGAACGAGTTGCAACTGAAGTGTTTCAAGCCAGGAGAAGCTATGCATCATTTGATTTCTCGGCTGGAAGATGGGCCTTGAGTCAGGAGAGTGTGGAGTGGTTTTATGCAAGCTCAATTATGCGCTGTGTTTTTAGTTTAAGTGGTGTTTGGTTGTTTAAGGTCTCCCCTAGTTTGTTGACTAGCTAGGTTTCGTGGGGTGTGTGTAAGGTTTTGGGCCTCGGTTAAACTGTTTCCTCTGGGTGGTGGTTGTGTTTTGGTTGTAAATGACTACTTGATTTTTGAAATGAGATCACGGAAGTGATCACTTTTAATCAAAAAATAAGCAAACACAAGTTTGTCATGTACTCGCCGTTGCAGAGATAAGCGTGGCTCAGATGATTTTTGTGTGTGCCCGAACCGCTCCTTCAAGATTTAAGTTTTAGACCTTGCCCAAGTGCTCATAATTTTTTGAATTAGTATCTTGAAAATGCTCATGGAGATATGGTGTGCATGTATGTGTATATGAGCATCCACGTTTGCAATGTGTTAACAAACGTAAAAAAGACAGTCTTCCACATAGGCCAAGTTCTAATGCACACTAGGACACTTTCATTAGGAGTACATGAGTCTAAGCTCGCAAGTTTTTTCATCAATACATGCAACACCAAACTTCTTGTTCGTGTGGTCGCAGACTCGCAGGAAAAAAAAATCCACGGTTACGTAGCAAAGCACGAATTTCATGGATTAAACTTCCGATCAACCGCGGATCAAGCAACGCACTGTTCCTTGTCGCGACAAACCGAAACCAGTCTTTTCTCTCCGTCGATCGCACGCGTCCACGTTTCCATCAGACGGACCACAGCGCGCCAATCTTCCTCCTCCTCCTCCTTGACCCGTAACTGTTGATACGAGCGGAGTGAGCAGATACGAGCGGAGTGGGGCGAGGCAGGAGGAGAGATGAGCGGGAACGAGGTTGAGAAGGCCAAGGCTGCCGCCGGCGGCGGCGTAGGGGAGTACGGGACGTTCCATGGTCCGCCCAGCTACCCGCCCCCGCGCCCGCCCGTCGGGCACCCGCAGCCCGCCCCGCCGCCCGGCCTCCACGGCCATCGCGAGCCCAACTCGCGCCACCGCGGCGGCTACCAGGCCGGGAACGGTAAATGTCCCGATCCCTGCTTCTAATCCGCGGTTCTCTCGGGGAGGGAGGGAGGCGCGGAGGGGGCTGATGTCGGGGTGATGAAGTAGAATTTTGGTCTTGCGATCGGGATCGATTCCCTCGGGATTTAGTTGATCCGACGCCGGTCTTTGAATGTCGATCGGAATTGGGCGTGGAACCGGTGGGATCAAAGGCGGAATTCTCCCCTACGAGATCTCTGGCAGGATGCAATCGGGGCACAATTTTGGGATGTTTGATCTAATTCTGTTTCGTTTCTTGGTGTCAAAACTCTGATTGCCGTGACTGATGGAATCAGAATTCCTGTTACAACCCTGCAATGTTTCTTTCAATTTTCTTGACGTCTTGATCCAAATTGGCATGTATCGTGCTGTCCTGTTTGATCTAGGTGATGTCCTTCCGTCGTATGCTGGTTGCTTCATTACCAAATGATTTCTACCCAGTTGCTCTATATCAAATCTGAAAATAAAGGATCAACTATGACTGAGCCACCCTGGCTAGATTGTGTAGTAAGTGGTGCTAAAGCCAGCACATTTGCATTTCTTAGCATGGCATGGAGATCAATTGTCTCATCAGCTTCCCCTGGTTAGCATTGATGCATTTCTTAGCACAACATGGGGTTTGAATGTTTGATAGATCTGAAAATCTGATATAAGACAGTTCTGCCATTTTGATTGCATTGATCATTTGGCAAATATACAGAAGTTAACGGATGTAGCAGTCTACTAGTCATGTTCTTGTCTTTGTCCTTGATGATTTTAGGGAGTCCCCATGCGTACATTGGTCGTTGCAGCTTCTAATTGCACCGAGGCTGAATATGACGATCGTAATTTTTCCTAGTTATTTCACTTTATGTTTATAATAAGAATTTTATGTGCACACTTAATCTTGCTATTTCTCTTTTCAGCTCAAGATCACGAAGCAGGTGCGCGTGGACATAGACCTGACCGCCTTCCATGCTGCGGTATTGGCATGGGCTGGTTTCTGTAAGTGATCATTGTCTTAACTTTTGTCTTCTGATCTTAGTTTTACGTACAGCAGCAATGTACCTGAATAATTACTCTGACATAGATTATTGTGAACTATGCTGTTGCTTTAGCTATATCTGAGTAATCCTAACGACAAATTTCTTGTTCTGAAGATTCATAATCGGTTTCTTTCTTGGTGCCATCCCCTGGTATGTCGGAGCATTTCTGTTGTGGTATTCTAGAGTGGATTACAGGGAGAAACCAGGATATGTGGCATGCACAATAGCGGTGAGTAAAGAATTTAGTGTCGAGTTAACAACAAGCCTTGCTTGTTCCAGTTGCTGATATGGCGCTTGTGCTTTCTATACCATGTGTCACTGAACTTGGGCTATGATTGTCAGTATGTAGGAATATACAGGCTATTAGAAGGTGCTATTTTCTTGTTGTTGTTTTTTGCATTTTAAAATATTTTTATGACATGCTGATGTGATTCTTAACAATGGTCCAAACATATGGGGCTCAGGATTATATATGAAGTTTCTGCATGTTGTCTTCTTTGTACCTCATTTATCTGTTTTCAGAAGCAATAGTATACCAGAAAGCCAAGAATTGTTGAGCATAACATATTGCCTATTATGTCATTGTTATTCTTGCATGATTTATGAACTTTGTCATGTGTAAGTTTGGATCATGTATCAGGAGCACTTAGTGAATCAAGAATCATATTGATGGTTCATTCATGTTAGCTCAAACAGAAAAGGCAAATGAGAATAATTAGTTTGGTACAGTGAAGTTGGATCTGATTATTCAGAAGTATTTAAATATCAGATTCAAATGATAAAATATAGCTAATCCAGTCATCTAATTAGGTGGGTGTTTCGGCATACTTCGGCAGTTGCACAGTGTATCATTTTCGTTTGTGCATGACCTTTTGGACACTTAAGTAGCTGAAGCAGATGTATGTGACATTAACAAAGAGTGATTCAGAGAACGTGAGCACCCTTATCAAAGAATGCATTAAATGTTGACATATATGCAGCTAGGGTATATCTGTGTTACAATAACGAAGACTGATCCAGAGAGTGAGCACACTTGATAAAAACATGCATGATGGTAGTGTCATATACTCTACTAGTTAGTATAGTTTTATGGTATGTAAAGTCTTCATGAGAAATCTTCTGATGAAGTCCAGAGTAGACCACTTTTCTGTGAGTGACTTGCCACCTTTATTTTTCAAATTCTGATGATCCTAATGAGAACCATTTGCTGTAACAGGCTGTCCTTGCTACAATTGCCGTCATCATCGGGGCAACCGCTGGAGCTCACGTTTATTGATGTCAGTCTACATTGTGTCACTGTACATATTGTACATTTCATGGATGAAGAAAGATGTCATGTCGCGTCTTCTGCACTGTATTTGATTATTAACTTTGAAATATTCAATGTATGACGAGGAGAACCAAGTCCTTGTTATGGTCACAAATAAATCAGATTGAGACTACCTTGCCTTGTGCATGCTTGAGAGCATGCTTGGATACGTTTTAGTCCCATGACTAAAAGTAGTGGGACTAAAACTTGCTAGTCTCACCCATGCTTGGATCCAAATACTAAAGAGACTAAAATCTAGTTATTGAGCATTTATTATCCTCCAAACCCTCCAATCCAAAACTAAGGAGAGGAATTAAATGAGGAGAGAGAGAGCTAATACATATTTTAGTAGGTTTCCCATGACTAAAAGATTTTAGCCTCAAGACTAGTCCCAGCCTCTTTTTAGTCAGGGGTGCTTGGAACTTTAGCCTCTAAAAGAGACTATTTTTAGTCAGACTAAAAATAGTCCCTTGTATCCAAGCACCCTCTGAGACTACCTTACCTTGTGAATGCTCAAATAACCTTGATTTCGTAAACAAATGATGTAGCTTCGCTTGGCGAGCAATGGCTTTCTTGTACTGTACTAGCAATGGCTTCCTTGTACTGTACTTATCATCTGAATAATAAGCCTCAGATTCTGGTCAGGCAGAAGGACGATTCGCCAAAGGAACCACCATTGTGATATTCTAATTAACTTTCTTTTTTGGTTGCTCTCTGCTCAACGCCATTCTACGCACTTGTACATCTGCACTGGGCATTATTCAAGTGTTGAAATGTGATTGGGGATCGATGTCACAAATTATAGTTCTTTACGGTTCTACCCCCTCCATTCACATATACAAGATGTTCAGGATATTTCAATATGAACTACTCCCTCCGTTCCACAATACATGCCTTTCATTTGTCAAAATATAGATGTATCTAAACATGTTTTAGTATATAGGTACATCCATTTTTGGACAAATGGAAGTCAAGTATTTTGGAACGGAGGGAGTACATGTGAACAAACACACTAAAACGGGTCTATATACATCCGATTCAGAAAAAAAAAGTTAGAACATCTTATAATTTGTGAACGGAGGGAGTAACATTCTACACTTCCTTGTATTATGGTTCTGAATATATATCATATGATTTTCTGGTTCAGGGATAAAGATAACTCGCATGTCTTGCCAGAGGCAAAGCAACACAACAGTAGAACGCCTGATCCTTCAGTTGAAGGTAGTAGTAATGTAATACTCACATTTCATGCTGACAGTTACTTTTGATACGCGTCGACTGACTAAAAGGTTTGCAGGAACTGGATAGCTTCATGAAAGCTTTAAAAGCTTACTTGACTACAGAACAGGAGACAACAGGAGACAGAGATCACAATGACATTGGTTTCGCTACGTTTCTTTCACATACAGGGACTTGAGGTGCTTATACATGAGCTTGCTCTCATTCACAGCCAGATGGAGCTCGGAATCATCCATCCACCATTGCTGCAGCCCATGAGCTTTTAGAAACTTCTGTGGCCCTTTCGCAATCACAAAAACCTTGGCACGCGCCTCGGGGTGACCATCGCCGCGCTTCTCGGCAGTAACAGTTGGTATGCCACTACGGTCAACATAGAAACAGCAAATGTAGTCGCTGTTGTTGATGTACAGGTTCGGCACCCATCTCTTCACCTCCTTGATCAGATTTTCTTCTCCAATTTCAGAAACAGTTTCCTCCTGTCCCAGGTGGGAACTTTCAACGGCATTTGAAGAGCTGCCGCTGATGTATCGCTTCAAGACCTTGTCGACTTTATCCTGAAGCTTCCTCAGGCCCAGGCCGAGTGACACTGATGGTGGGTTAAACAAATGACATTCTACGAAGACTCCGTCCTTCGCCAAAGTCTTACCAACCTGCATCGCATATCCTGCCCCTAGGGAATGCCCCGCAACGCACACATTGTTGCTTCCATGCTTATCGATAGCCGACTTGAGCACCTCCAGTGCTCCAGCGAACCTGACAGAACCCCTCAAGCTCTCCTGAGCGAAGTACCTGAGGTCATCCTCCAAGTCTCTGGCAACAGTTGACTGCTTCAGGACAGTTCCCCTCAGTGCCAGGACAGCCTTTGGAGCACCATCAGGTCTCCGCATTATCCAGTCTGATAGTGCAGCAATCTGGTCCCATTCTAGAAGTGCCCCATATATGGATCCGTCTCTGGGATCAATTAGAAGGCGCACCAGCTTGTATTTAAATGGCTTCCACCAGTTAGGAGCAATGGCAGTTTCACCAGTTCTGTTCTCTTGCCTGTCAAACTCCAGTACATACGCGGCCTGCACTAAACATGATATTGCAATTCTTCTGTAGTTGGGATTTTTCCTGCGGAGTCATTATATTTGTTCATCAGTACCACACACATGACTAGTCTTGTTATAAAAAGGCATGGCCTCCAGCAATGGCTGAAGTGACCAAAAATACAAGCAGAGGAAGATATCGGAAGCCTAACATTTCTTAGATTAAACACTAAATTTAGGTACATTTGAACAGCATCTATTTACATAACATCTACTACAAATTATATAGAGAGCAAGAACCATGCCATCCTTTTATTTACTAATCTTTTTTTCTTAACAAATTATACTAAGGTCTTAAAAGCTCATGACACAATTCCCTGTCATACAACTAATAAAGTCCAACGTGACAAAAACTTAAAAGTTGCGTAATGCATCAATACTGATTCTCCTTGAGTCAACGTGTTCGCAACTTTGACCAGCGAGAAAATCATGCTTTGTACACTCATGACACTTAGGTGTTGAAAATTTATAAAACATCGACACTGACAACATATACTGGCACAAAAGAAATCATATAGGGCTTGGATCCTATGAAAATGTGTGGTTGGGCTCTATTCTGGGTATAACATGTCACGTCTATTTTGATCAAGTAGACTGTCCCTTATCACCAACAATAGACACTGCTTCCACATGTACAGTAATACTTTGAACAGGATCCAATCTCACACTCACAGGGCCTGAATTCTATAGGATTAATACCCATCGGCCACCATCGGCCCTGCTAGTTTGTTGTGAAAACTGTTTGCGCCCCATTTCCCATATGGACGCCAACCAGTGTCATCTGAAACAATGCCTTTTGCAACCCAGCTGACTCAATCAAAACAACAGGCAAGATAGACACAGGCATGGCCATTTCAAGGCAGTATTAAAGCTTCGACAGAGGGCGAGGCGAGTAACAGGCAAAACGTGAACTAGACCTAGAATTCTTCCAGAATCCAAGTGGCATTTCAGCAAACGGCAGACGACGAGGGTGGCTTTGACGGCGTGCTCAGACAGACCACGCTAAGAATCCCCAGACCTAGACTCGTAAATCAAGACGACAGAGTTCAGATTCGGAATACCCCGCACACAGATTGTGACCAACAGTACGCGCTATCGTGCTATGCGTTCTGGGGGGAGGAGGGAGTGGGGCTGCGAACGCGAACCAGGCAGAGCGGCCGGGGCTGGAGAGGTTGCGAGGACCCGTGGCGTGGAACTCCCACGCCGGCGGCTTGGCGCCGCCTCCGTTGCTGCCCATCCCCTGTGCCTCTTGGGCGGAGTGGCGGTGCATTAGCGGTGAAGGAAAGGGCGCCGAGGAAGGAAGGCGCAGGGTACTCGGTTTCGTCAACGGCTGGGTTCCGCACGGCACTTTTCTTCTTTGTTCTGTTGCTACTGCTCACGGGCGACGCGCCAGGCACTGGTCATTTCTTACTGCAAACCTCTTGTCTGTTTACGAGCCGAAGCGTGTCGTAGGAGATCTCCTTGTACTCTTATTTTAGGAAAAAAAGAAAGTGACGGCAATTTATTTATTTATTGGCATACACAAGTGGTGGTAGCGTGGCATCCTCGAAAAAGAGTGAGGGCATTGGGCCAAGGGCAGTAATCTGCGCCGGTGCGCCGGCCGAAAGTTTCGGCCGATCGCACCGCAGCCGCCCGATTTACCTCTGTATTAACCGTCAGATCTAATCCTCACCAAGTCAACGCAGCTCATCTCTTTCCTCCCGCTGATGTACACATCTAGCCGTCATGGATGAGCGAGGCACCCAGACTTGAAGCACCACCGGGCTTGGCCGCCCCCTGCCCCCGTCACCGCCCTCGCCGCCGGGCGCCGCCGGTACCGCCGTTCGCCGTCGGCGCCGCCGGTCTCCTGTATTTCTCACCGGCTTCACGCATGCAGCAGCGTCTCCCATGGTTGCAGGACCGTGACGATGGTCGCAAACTCCGGTGGTGGCGGGTGTGGCTCCGGCGGAGATGGCCGTAGCTCCGGCGGAGATGACCCCATGCTAGCAACTCCGGTGGCGTCGTGTGGCCGTCTGTCACTCATGTTGGTTCCAGCAAAAAAACTTGCTGATCGTAACATTTGTTTCCATGGATGCAGCTCCATCACGCATACGCTCGACTGGTTCCAGCAAAAAAGAATGCCGGCTGTAGCAAATTGGTAAAATGGTTGTAGCATTTTCCCGTTGTGGTTGCAGCTCTGCCATGCCAACGCTCGTTGATGACGCTCGTTTGGTTCCAGCAAAAATCGACGCCGGATGTAGCAATATATGTCGCTGGATGCAGCTCTGGCAGCCGGTTCATAGCAAAACACCCGATGTCTGTATCGTTGCAACACCTAGCCGTCGCCTTTGTATCACGATCGTCGCCGCACCACCGTGCCTCCGGCTGCAGCACTCAGTGTCGCAGCTCGCACCTAGTTGAAGCTTTTTCTCCATGCTCGTTGAAGCTTTTTCATGCCGGTTGATGCTTTATTCCACCCGTCGACCCTCGCTGCACGGGGTTGAAAGAACGACGGCTGCCAATTAACGCCATTTAAATGGATGTAGCAAAAATTCTCGCCGGTTGTAGCAAAAAACAGCAACGGCCCTAGCAATAACGTCGTCGCCACCGTCTCGGACCGCATCTCCGTCATTAATGCATGTAGCATATTCCTTCTAGGTCGTAGCAAAAGCCAATGATGGTTGTAGCAAATAATCATCTCCGTTGTCGCGGGTCGTAGCTATATAGTGGATGTAGCAAAAAATATTGCTGGTTCCAGCAAGCCGCGACGTTGGTTCCAGCACGCAACGACTATGTTCGCAGCATGCAGCACCCGCCTGAGCTCGGAGCTCCATGATGGTGTGGGTATGGCCATGGTTGCCATGGACACATCACTGCAGCTTCGCGGGGCTGTGGTTGCAGCTTCTTTCCCCAGCCTTATGGGAGTTTCAGCCAGTACCGGTGAACATGGATCTTGAAGACGACCTGGAAAAGAAGATAAAGAGGAAGGCAGGGGGGAAAAAGCGATCGTGATGGGCCAAAGGCACGTGAACGTGGCGGGCCAAAGGAGAAAAAACAATGACGCAAAACTGGATTGGGAGACGTCTGTGCGCTGGACTCCTACGCGGATGAGTCGCGTGCGTGCGACCGGCCGAGCGTTCGGCCGGCGCACCGCAGCCAAACGTTTACCTTGGGCCAAACGGTCTCCTACCATCATACGGTTAGGGCATCTCCAGCCGTTCGGCCCCCCAGGGCGTCTAAATTCAGCATCTTGGGGGCGTGCCGGCGCTAGCTCGGCCCCTGGGGCGAGCTAGCTCCCAGTCACGCACCCACGCGCCGGCCCCAGGACGCAGTAAATTCAAACTTGGTCGTTCCCGCTCTCAAGACGCCGCAAGTCCGGCGACCGGGCATAGTCTGCCGTTACAAAAAAACAGAGCGCCGCCGCCTCGGCGGGGTTGGTCCCAGGTGTTGGCGGAGTCGGCATGCGCGAGCTCGGCAGTGTCGGAGCTGCTTCGGTGTTGGGCTGCGTCGGCGCGGCTTCGACGCTGCTGGGCGGCGACGTAGAGGCTTCGCTCGGGCTTGGCGTCCGTGCGGCCGTGGGCGTCGTCGGCGTCGTGGGCGTTGCCGTCGGCAGCTCGTTCAGGATGAGGCCGCGCTGCACCAGGTACCACGCCTTGAGCTTCTCATCGTTGCTCTGGAGCATGTCCGCCCCACCCATCAGGAAAGCCATGTCGGTGTTCCACTTCTTCGCGGCGACGTTCGTCCGGAGCAGGTCGAGCTTGATGGCGTTGTTCTTCATTAGCACCGACCACCGCGCCTCGGTCTTCTCTTCGCGTAGGACGGCCCGGGCCTGGACGTCGGCGAGGCAATGCTCGATGGACTCCTGCACTCGCGCGGTTGCCGCATCGGCGTTTCCCCCCTTCTTGGCCAATTTGTGGCCGTCCGGCCGCCCTTCCGACGCGCCCGGAGTCGGCGCGTCCGGCTTGTATGTCTCCTTGGCCTTGTCGAGGGCACGTCGGACTTCCGCCCACTTCTCGCACTTGTCAATGCGCTTGTAGACGTGGAGGTGCTTGAAGTCGGCGTCTTGGTTGTCACCCCGGAACATGGCGAACATGCGCAGCAGCTGCGCGGATGGACGAACAGTTGGCGAACGGCGGGCGCAGGGGACGAAGATGTGCGGCGAACGGCGTGCGTACCTGATCCTCAACGCTGGCGCCGCTCTCCGGGCGAGCCGCGACCTCCTCAACGATTCCGTGCCATTTGTTGCACGCCAACTGGATACGCCCCCAATGGTTCGCCATCGCCTTGGCCCCGCGCTGCATGTAGACGCCTTTGAAGTAGGGGTCGACGAGCTTCCGCTCGTCGAACTCGGCCTTGATGCGGTCCCAGTACGTCTCCAAGCTCTGGTTCGCGCCGGTGGTCGGGTCGAGGCAGACGACTTTCCACGCTTCGGCGAGGCATTCCTCCTCCTTGGACGTCCATTTGATGCGCGGCTCGCCCGGCCTCGCCGCCCGCTTCTTTTTCTGGCGCCCCTTCGTCGGAACAGGAGCCGGCTCCTCCTCCTCCTCCTCCTCGTCCTCGTCCTCCTCCTCGGGTTCCTGCGCATCGTCGCCGTAGACATAGCCGAGCTCGGCCTCCATGTCGCCATTGAGGTCGACTACCTCGTCCTGGGTGGCGAAATCGGGAGACGAGGCGGCCGCGGCCGATCCTGTCGCGATGATGTCGTCCATGTCGGCTCCCGTGTCGTCGGCGTCCCCGAGGTGCGAGAAGGGCAGCGGCCCACGGTAGAGATGGGGTGTCGGTGTGGTCGCGTAGGCGGGGGGCGGCGAGTAGTTGTATGATGGGTACTGCACGCCGGCGAAGGCGGGCGATGGCGTGCGCGTAGCGGGGTGACCATGGGGAAAGGTCACGTTTGGGTTAAACCCGCCGTGCGCGTCGCCGACGGCGTAGCCGGGCGACGATGAACCCCATGGAGATCCGGCGCCTTGCTGTCCCCAGGGCGCGTACTGGTGGGTGTGGCTGACGACGGGAGCCTCGACAGACGAGGAAGACGACGTCGCGCGCGCCGCGTTGTCGCGGGCCTTCTTGGCTATCCCCCTGTTCCGCCTGTCGGCGGTGACTGCTTCTCGCCGCTGAACTTCCACCCTCCACTCGGCGTTCGACAGGCCCGGCGGCTTCGTCGGAGGCGCCCTCGGCTTCCTCTGTTTCGGTTGGGTCACGGCGCCTGTCGCGGTCGCCGCCGCGCGCGGCATGGAGTACTTCTTCGGTGGCATGGCGGCGGGATGCGAGCGGGGTTGGCGGGAGAAAGGGGGAGAATGGCGGGAGCAAGACGAGCGAGCGGGAGAGAAGCGAGAAAAGCGGCAACAAAACGGCGGGAAAAGGCCCTCGGTCGCCTCCAGTGCGGGCCCACGCGCCTTTTTTGCTTGCGCCGGCTCCCCAAGCGCCCCCCAGGGCGCCGGGTTCGGCCTGGGTCCGCCGGCACCAGTTTTGGCCCGAGCCGGCGAAAAACGGGCTTCCGGGGGCGCGACTGGGGCCTTTTTTCGGCGCCGGCGCGACGAAATCGCCTGGGGAGGGCCTGTTGGGGGCGCGGCTGGAGATGCCCTTAAGATACTGCGCTGGAATGCAACAAACTTTGGCAGCTCGCCAGAGGCCAAAAATATGCTGATGAATCCTGTGCGACACATCATCCATTTCAGTTGGATGAGCGTCGGCATGGCTTCAGTTTTTAGTAAATACTAGCAAAAGGGATAAGATGATCTTTGCCTACAAAAACGCAAGTTCAAGATTTCACATGTCTTCTATTTAAACAAGGCTTGCATGTAGATTTAATACGTACAAAGAAACGGGCAAGTGATCTTCAATTTCGTCTACAATCCTAATTTTGCTGAGATGTTCATCCACAATCCGAATCAGGACCTATATGAAAGAAAGACGGGCAATGCAGTGTTGATTAATATTGCATCCTAGATACTATTTTTTTAAATGGTTAACCAGTAAAAATAAATTCTATATATTTTTCTAATCAAATGCCAGATATAACATGTTAAATGTGGAGTTATGGTTTAGAAGATATAAGTATTTTAAAAAACATTTGATATGTATTGCAAGTTTAATGTCAAAAACATAAGGGGGCTTTCTATAAAATAGCATGACAGACTAAAAATACCTATTTTCTTTATTAGTAAGTACAAAAAGGGGTCTTAAAACTTGCACGCTGAGTGGATAGGCATGCTAGTGTACCAGCGCTGGGTCATCGGTTCGAGCCTGGTATTTCGTGTTAGTTTTCGCTTTGTATGATATTATGCTAGACCC